GAAGAAGAAGAAGAAGAAGAAAAAAGAAGAAGAAGAAAAAGAAGAAGAAGGAGAAGAAGAAGGGGAAGGGGAAGGGGAAAGGGAAGGAGAAGGAGAATCATCTATATCTATTTATATTATGTTTGTGAAAGTTCGTAACTTTGATCTCCTAAAATTTCTGAACCACTTAACTTTCGAATTTGAACAAAATAATGGTGGTTAAAAGTCATTTAAAGAGCGCACAGTTATTTAAGGAGTCAGAAGAGACTGTAGTTGAAATTTCAGTTTTTCATTACTTTCGTTTTTATTTAATCAAGGGAAAGTCCGTCTTCTAAGAAGCCATTGTAAACAAGTGAGGCTTCCGTTCACAAGCAGCGCGAACTAATTCCACAAAGACTTGACGATCGATTCACTAGGTAAGGTATTCGTGAACATAGATGATGGAGAGAAAAAAAACTGAGATAGATAGAACTAGAGAGAGAAGGGGGGGGGTGAAAGAAATAGATAGATAGATAGATAGATAGATAGAGGGAGAGAGGGTGAGGGAAAAGAAAATAGAGATAGCAAAAGAAAGAGAGAAGGGAACAGCTTTTCGACATTTGGAGACATAATGGAGTGGAGGAAGCTGTTAACGTTTAGATCTATAACTATAATATATCAACACCCTCTCATCATAATCACACAAAAACGATTGACGTCACAGCTTCATCATTGTCTTCTTCGTCAACAGATTATCCTTCTTTAGCTCTCTCAAATTCCTAGCGACTGTCTGTCATTACTAAAAACGCAAATGAGAGTGTCAGTATTACATTTCGTGGATCAGCTGTAAAAATGTACTAAAATCAAAATTTTTAACAAAGACCAAAACAACATTTAATGCAACCCAATTTTTCACGGTGAAATGTTAGTAAAGTGCATACTCATAAGTGACAATAATTTTGTACGACAGAAGAACGGGCCTCTGTAGATGGTGGTTCTGGACACCTTGGATCAGGGCTGGGTTATAATTAAAACCTTAGAAGTTGCAATCTCATGGTTGCCGCACACTTCACTGGAGACAAAAGGAGTGCCAGGGTTGGTTGCTCTTTGCCAGAATAAAGAGGCTGGATGATGCGTGTAAATTGTCCGACGCTTCATGTGCATGTTCAGGAATGCATTTTCTTATTTACTCATTTTACAAAGAAATTCCCTAGAGCATCTTGAGTTTAAATTAAAAATCAAAATATTAAGTTACTTGTCAGTAATGTCAAATTATAGAATAAAGATCATGCACATGGGAGTACTTTAGCACCAGGCAAAGATCTCCAAAGTCAAACACACTCACACACACACAGACAGACACACACACGCACGCACAAACAGACAAAGAAAAACACACATATGATTAATACAATTGATACTTCGTGGGGTGTCTTCTCAAAATGTGTTAGAACAGCATTTCTATTATGGTAACAGTAAACGTCTAAATAGATAATTACTGTTTCACAATTTGCTTTAGTTTGAAGTCAATGATTCATAACGCAAACTGGCCGACAATTTTCTCTCCCCTTTATGTCAAACGTAGCATCTAACATCCTTTGTCACCAAGTTATCTATTCTAAAGTTGTGCACGGACAATTTAGTTTTGTAATAAAGACATGGAGCTTGTAGATATGGCGCCAAGAGGACCGACTAAAGGTCCATGACGATTACACAGATTGTTACCGTTGCTAGCTTCAGCCAGTTTCTTATTTTTGCCCTTTTCAGATTGAACTTGTGACTTTCCGTCACTGATACGTTTCCAAATCTCATCACCGACTTTTTCGCTCTTATGGCCTACACACAGGTCTCACTG